TGACAGTTGTATAAGAAGTCACTGTTATTGACAACAACTTAAGTGATGTGTTGTGAAAAAAATCCCTAACAGAATATAGAGCAAAGTTTCAGATGAACTTTTAAACCAAAAGTTGTTTCTTGTGTCGTGACATTTGTGCACCCCATCAAGCCCCTATGGAATAAATAAATAAATGAAAGTCTGTATGACTCAGATGCCTCTCAGAATAGTGCATGGTGTGACTGTTGAGCACCGGGAGCACACCTGAGCAGCCTGAGCAGTAGTAGTATGCCCATGCATATGTAACACTGCTTCCATCAGTTCCGGTCACGACGGAGACGCTCATTACGTCAGAATATGGCTGCCATGTCAAAGCTAATGTAGGTCACCCTGTCCTGCATATACCTCACTCCAGTCCATTTGGGCTTTCAATACTGTGTCATTTGAGTGCTTTGTTTGTGTGTTCTTTCTGACTTTGTTACTCAGCAGCAATAGATAGAGGGGCCAATGGCACCTATTGGCAGCCTTGCTTCTCTTAGTCTTCCCCAGGGCGCTTGTCCACAAAACTGTAAAACTATATGTGTTATTTATTATTAGTCAAAGTATTACTGTGGAGCTGTATTACTGTGTACTAAACTAAATCATCTATATTATTTTTTTTAATATAAAAAAACGGCACCACAATTTAAATGATCAATCACCCACTAAGTCATTCATCCCCAGTGAAGCATAAAAATGTGACTGATGTAGACGGCAATAGAACCAGGAGCATCCTTTTTTATAGTGGGTGTGGCATGCCCTCAGTGCAAATGTCCTATTGTTTCTTTGCTCTCTCACTAATAATGTCCCCTGATCCCCCCCACCCAATCTCTATTTCCCTCTAATGAGCTGCGGTCTGTTATCAGCCATTACAGGAAGCCTGATTATCCAACTGACATTCTGCACACGCTCACAGAGAACTTCCTGAAGGTGACCTTTCGCTGTTGCCATAGAAACCGCCTCTATCTCGCCCGCTCTCCTTTCTCTCTCTCTGCTTGGAGATATTTAGCTTGTACACAGAGAGGAGAGACAGAGCAATAACAGGGAATTTTCTAGAGAACAAGAATGCATTAGTATGCTGCCAAGTGATAGAGAGATAGCACAAGGGCTTATGATTAGAGAAGCAGGGAAGAGAGACGAGATTATTTGAAAATATGTGTCTGTCAGTGTTACCAGATAATCAATGATAACACCTACAATAAATTAAATAAAGGTTTGCTACTTTATTTTAGTCACTCTCAAGACAAAAAAATACAAAATCAATGAATAAAAAATCATCACCTGTTTGAAATAGCCTAAGCAAATAGGCAAGGATTTCCTGAATAATCACAGCATGCTCAGTAATATTGCCCAAAATTAGGTCAGCAAACAACCTGAATTCACTGGTTGATTTATTTATTTATTTTTCCATCAGTGGATCTTTTTCTTCCCAGATGGAACTGACATATTCCAAGATGACAATGCCAGAATTAATCAGGCAACATGAGGCATGGGTTTCACACATGGATTGGCCTCCGCACAGTGTACACATTTGCTGTGGCATTATTTCAGTAAGTCCAAAGTTACATTTACCTTGTATTGAATGATACTGTAGTGATGATAGGAGAGTCTGACCACTTCTCCTGTACATGACAACAAGTATTTGATTCTTTATGGGGTTATTTGCGTTGCTTAGTGAAAGTTGCCACTCTGTTTGGGGGATTATGTGTTATGTGTGTTATGATTCTCCTTTCCCTTTTTAGTGTTGCCAGCTGTCAGTTTATTTGATTTTTATGTAGCTGTTGTTCTCAAAATTTTCACACCAAGTACCACCTGAGAAAATATTCAACTCCTTATTATCACCAGGTCTAAACTAGCCAGGTTGGCGCCACCTAGTGCCTCCGCTCAATTTCTTTTCTCTCTAGTGACTAAGTCAGGAATCTGAATACACTAGACGGTTTGCAAGAACCCTGGCAGTTGTACACCGCGCACCGTCCAATCATCGAAGAGCTGTGAAGCCATGACGTCAAATTCAAGCACCTGTCTGGATCTCTTTTGTGGTACAGCACAACAGTAAACAAAGCAGTCGAGATGGATGCAGACAAAGTCATTCATTTTGTGTTGGCAACAATTCCAGAGATTGAGGATTTAAATCTGGAACAAAGAGAATGTTTGGTGACTTTTATCAAGGTGAAAGACGTTATTGCCCTTCTTCCTACGGGATTTGGCGCATTACATATGTCATGACCAAATAGCAGCAATTGGTTAAATGAAAAAAGTACCCGCCTACCGTCGAGCGAGCGAATCCTAACGCTGCAAGGTCAGGCTGATGAATCAGGCTAGGTGTAAACCAGCTCAAAACCAATATCATACCAGGTCTAATTTAGGTCTAAACCAGGCCTAAAACAGGACTACAACATAAACAAACATACATGCTCTAGAATGATCAAAATACACTCTAAATTAAACAAATACAGCACGGACCTTGCATACCACCTGATGCAACCCAGGGACCACAGTTTGAGAGCCAATATACTATGGATACTATGACCTATGTTTCCACTCAGTGATGTAGACCAACATATACGTCAACCATGCGTGAGCGTATCTTGTGTGTACATAGTAACCTGCTTGACCGTTGCTTCAGTCCACAGGGGTTTGCCTTCTTTCCCCATGTGCACCTCAGGTTCCTCCCATGCATCAACAGTGACTATTACAACATACCAAGAGCACTGTCTATGCAGTTCAGGAGTTTTGGTATCATTTAGCTTTTTTTTTTTTTTTTTTGATTGCACTATAATTTTGTTGCTTATTAGGTGGAAGAATACACTTGAATACACTTCACAAATGTATGTATCCCTCTTAGGCTTGTCTGTCTTTTGCATTTAGTACGTCTAATATATTTAATTTAGACTACATATTCACATATTTTCCAATCTAAAATGTCCTATGCACATGTACTGGTCTATGTGTGTTTTAATGAATGGAAGTTCACAAAAAGCACTCTTCTCTGATTGGTTTAAGGCGGGTTTCAAGTTTCATGCTGATGAGGTGTGTGGTACAACATCAGGTCATAGGCTTTGTCGAGTGTCTCAGAGGTGAAGACTAAGCCTAACTGTTTATGTCATTGTTTATAAGTAGCTTTTGTTTTCTGACCAACACATTCACACACATCATTTCGTATTTCATTCACTAAATCAGTCCTTTCACCTCTTATGCGTCACTGCCTCTTGAATTGTCTACTTTGAGTGACATTGCGCTCACCTAATCGTTCCAACTTCCTCCTCATCTCGGTCTTTGGTTATTTATATTCGCCACTGAATCATACGTTGCCAAGGATATCACGCGTGCGCAGTGGAGACTGAGAGAGGAAATCTGAATCATCGGTGGAAGCGGAGATGGGGAGACAGTGGAAGAGGGGGGTGATCGTAGAGTGATGGGAGCCGGCTGAGGAAACAACAGCGAGCGATCACTCTCCAGGCTGGTAATGACAGGTACATTACATTGCGATTGTTTTAATGAATGCTGGATAATTGTGCATTGTTATACTAGCCTATTTTGTATTTGTGGTGAACCAGGTTTATCAGTGCGCTCGTTGTCGCGCCGCGCATCTGGAGTGCGCTGTGTCCAAACGTTGTGCGTAAAAGACGCTCTGACCTTTCATTTGGTTCTTATTGCCATTAACTCACAAATGCTTGTTTGCACTTGCTGTTTCTCTTGTAGGTTATGGCAGGCTTGAATTAAAGTTGCTCACAGTGGTTTACGTCATTGTCTACAATTTGCAATATTTTCCCCTGGCATCGTTAAATAAATTGCTGTCACCATTAATAGGCTATGAATTCATCTTCTTGAACTGCGTTGTGCGCTTGGACGATGCTATATAGAATTATTCAGAATGGCGTCACATATTACGTATGGTCTCTGTGTGTTTGGTACTACACTAGCAGAGGTCGCGAAGGTTACAGGTTTAAAAACAGTCGTACATTGTGCATATATTTACCGTAGAATAATTGCCATTTCTAAAGCACATGTAAGAAATCCGTCTATGCGTTTTGGTGATCTGTCTGGATTAAAAAAAGATACACCTGCTTGTTCACGTCACGTGACTCCATGACGCAAGTGGTTTGTGAGTAGGACTTTTGGTCTACCCATCCTAATGTGCAATGGTGGATTATAGTTTGGATGTAATCTTATTCTGTACATATTTCACATTATTATATCAGCAGATAGTTGTGAACCATGCCTTTGTTTTTGGAACAAGAATTACAAACTAACACAGTTAAGATTACTTGTCTTTAATTGACAGAGGGCAAACCTTTAATGCATGCCCATATGGCCACTCACTCTACAGAGTATAACGCACACTTTTGACTGAGACTGTTATATCCAAAAGACGACCAGTGAGTAATGAACAGCTTGTAAACAAAGCTACTTCTTGCAGAATGTCTGTCTGCCAAGAAAGTCCCACTCATCAACATCTCACTCTGAGTTTTTCCACTATCAGAGACTCACAAGACTTACAAGCCAATACTAAAGGAAATCGTAACAAGACAACAGTTCATCCTGAAACTTTCTGTTAACTTAACAGCTCATATCACAAATCTACAATTATATTTTACGTATATTTTCCTGACACTAAAAAGGTCGAATTCTTCTACTTAATCCATGCCTGCCCACAAAGCACAACTGTGTATATTCAGAGCATTTGTAGAGGAAGAAACAACAGTATGCCGCCAGCCATAGCTATATTGGCGCTGTAGTGGCAGAAAATGTAATATTCCATGGTTTATTTGATAGAAGCAGACAAAAGGAATGCATCATTAATCTCAATGTACTGAGGCAGCCATCCCCTCAGTACTGTGTTATGTAACAGACAGCAAGTATCTCAGACTCTGGGACTGGGACTGTTTACCAGTGGCACTATTCATCAATACAAAATGTTGATAAAATGTACTTCTTTGACAACAATGTGTACTCTTCTATTGATCTGTTTGTGTCTGCAGCAGATCGACAGATGTGAAGGATGACGTCCTGCACAGAGATCTGTGGATCCGACTACACAGACCCAGCCCAAACCACAGGCCACTGTCAGCAGTATGGAGTCCGATCTTACCTACATCAGGTACAAATGGTCGATATGTGCCCTGCAATGCTGAGCTCAGGTTTTATTGTAACATCAATTTGTCCAATGGTAGTTTTATGAGGAATGCACAGCTTCAATTTGGGAACGCGATGAAGATTTTCAGATTCAGAGATCGCCGAGCAGGTGGAGCTCTTTACTCTGGAAGGTAACGTTAAAGTCACATTTTTAAAATTATGGTTTTACGGTGAATTCTATTTACACACTGTGTCTGTCCCAGGTCTGTCTCGCGTTCGGAGCATTGGTCCTTTTTGCAGGCTTCATAGTGGTCCTGGTGGGTTATGCCACTCCAGCCAGGATTGAAGCTTTTGGTGAAGATGATCTCCTTTTCGTTGACAGGTATAGATGTTTCTCTGAAAAAAATGTCTTACAGAATTTTAAATATTTGCTTTCTATTACTTTGTGTTGTTTTTTAACCATGTTTTCAACAGCCAAGCAGTTAGCTTCAATCGAGCTCTGGATGTGTGCAAACTGACTGGAGCGATCCTGTTCTGTGTGGGAGGCACGTCTATGGCAGTGGGTCTTCTGTTGTCTGCTTTTGCTAAAGGCTACTCTAAAGAAGAACTGTATCTGCAGCAGAAGTTTAAAGAGAGACTGGCAGATCTGCATGCAACAGTTGGTAAGACTTTGTTCCAACATGGAAAACTAAAAAAGAAAACCTAAAACCTAAAGCTCTTTTTACTCCAGGGACTCCCATCATGAGAGCACCCACCCCAGGAGAAGGAAAAGTACCAGTCACACTATCCAAAGTCCAGAATATCCAGCCCTCCAATGCTAAAGCAGAGACCTGACACTGAGCTCCTGAAGTGGACCAGTGAAGTGTGTGAGGGGATGTTTGTGACTGAGTGCATTTCCTTTGAAAAGGTCAGCTTACATGACGACTAGTTCTGGGTTCACAACTAATAGGTTCCTTAAATCATGCTTATGTTTTTTATTTAAACCAAACAATGCCAAGAATACAAAGCACAATACAGCCTCTGAACTTTTTTAAAGACTTTTAGTGACTATTGTTAGTGCTAGATTGTAAAGCATAGAAAATAGGTAGACACATAAGTTGCACCCATTAATTCATACAAAAAGATGCAGTGAATTTAACTTATTGCAGTCACTTTTGCTAAGTTTTTGATGTGATTATTATTATATATATATTTTTTTTGGTAGTTCAGACAAATAGCTTAGTTTATTTTAGTTCAGTTTATTTGATGAGATGTAGAGAAACCTTAAGATCATAACAGAGATGCTTGCACTAGATTATAGCAAGATAGATAGCTTCCATTTGTAGTCTGTGGTTCCTGGCTTCATGAATGTGTGTATACAACTTGAAGTTAAGGATTTAACTACTCTCTTTGCGATTGCTGTTATTGGCCAATTGATCTTGTCTCTACCAATAATTCCTCAGACAAGAGTAATTGACTTGAACTGTGATGAAAGCAAAACAGACAGGTGTAGAATACAAAGGCCAGTTGCACAAATTAAGTTTGCTCATTCAATGGATATATAATCGTGTGCTAATAGTTTTAAGTCTGTAGTGAGTATGTGGAAAGTGAATACCCAAGTCGTATCACCTCCACAAATGTGTTACAAAACAAACAGCTCTGCAAGTTACAGCAGGTATGCTGTGTTCATTTTACGAAGCCTTCCTGCACTCACATAAGACTTGAAGCTGTATCATCTGTAATGCTAAACAAACACACATACAGACTTACCAAATAACATACATTTTGTCAAGGTTTCACATGCATAGTGGAAGAACATTTGATTCATGCTCTTTATATAGGCATTATTTCTTCCTTGTTTTTATTATATAGATGAAGTACACATGTGCAGTTATCACAGTGCCATATAAAGTTACAGTCCTCACCAGAAAAATACTGAGGCAATCTAACTGTGTGGTATGATTATGTAAGTTGACCTTTTAGGGTAAGTACTCTACTACCCTACTAATCCAAAATCCAGACCACATGGAAACCAGTCTTGTGTTTTAAACAGGAAACACTGTGTAATTTGGTTAGACAATGTTGTACCTAGGATACAGTTAAATTACAGCTGCAGAGGAAACAAAACAACACTTCATTCACCCATAATGAGAAATCAGTAGTTTGGTGTTCATGTAGTTCCTTGCTGTCTGTAGTGAGCTTTTTTAATCCTGTATTGGACCAAAGCTGAATCCAACTTTTCCTTCTCTTGAATAACTAAAAATCACTCAACAAACAAACAGAAGTTGTGTCCTGCACAAATGAAGAATAATATATGAAGAATAATATATTCATCAAATGCATAATATATTAAAACAGTGTCTATTTTTAAATGAACATGAAAAAATAAATTACTAACATCTCAACTTGTGTAAATCATGTTTGCAATTTCTGTCTTATTTATTTGAGCACTTACATAGCATTTTTTATTCACTCCTCCAGTCTATCTGACCACCACCAATTACTTACACACATGCCACATTTATACTAGGCAAGGTGGATGGAGTGTCTTGCATAAGGACACAACAACAGTACATGACACTGCTATTCTCAGCTGTCTTCCTTCCCAGTGCTAACCAGGCCCAACCAACTGAGCTTCTGAGATCAGACTGGATAGGGCATTCACAAGGTGGTATGGTCATGTATTAGGCCCGAGTTCAATGAATGCAATCAGGTTAGCTCATTTTACTTTTTGCGATTAGAGGGTATTTTGATTGATAATGTTAAAAACAATTTTCAAAGTTACTAACAATCCAGATGTTTCTAACTTTCAGCACAGCAAACTACACCTTCATTAGGCTGGAAGCACTATTGCAGTGTACCAGGGGAGTCATTTAGGAAAAAGGGATGCTGTTATTAACTACATACCCACCCACAGGCGTACTTTGAGGCTTGCAGGGGATCACACTGAATTGATAGTAACTCCACAAATAGCAGCGTACGGATCATCACCTCTATGAGTCACAGCGGATGGCCCTTGCTCCTTATGTCTTTCTCTCTTGCAGCAGCCATGATGTTGCCCCTGTGGGACATTGAGTCATAAAACAGCCGACAGCTCAGATGGTGAGCAGAGAGGCCGTGCACGGAATTAGATCAGACTTCACACTTTAGTTCACAGCCTTTCGTGGTGGGAGGCAGGTTACAGTTTTCTTCAACTCTTCATCATAGGAAAAATGCTATTAGGGTGAATGAAAGACGAGACGGACAAATATGAGGTAATCAGGCAATAGCATTGTGGCTACTGACAGATGAATATTACACAGTCAGTGCAACTATAAAAGGCTCAGCGGAATAGATACCAGGATACATATTAGTTGGTTGCATAAAGTGTTAAATTTTATTACAACCAGCTTTGACCATTCATACAGGGAAGGTGGTCATGATATTCCACCTGACCAATGTACTAAAATGGTGCAAATATACATCTTTTTATTTTGAGTATTAATATTCAAGTATCTATATTCCTTTGGTATTTTTAGTCTGGAATAAATTGGCTTGAATGTCAAGTACAAAGAGATCAGTGAGCCAGCTCCTATACATCATAGTAAAATTTGGCTGACCAGACTTAAGTACCTTTGTTTTAAATTGAGTGTTTTTATATTATATACTAAATATATGTGCTACTTTATTTATATAGTGTGTTCGTGTCACACATTTTATTTTATTTCCATGGATTTATTTTTCAAGTGCTTTCACACCAACACATTATAACAAAGATATAATAAAAATATTCTTGAAGGCATGTTTCTTAATTTTATTTTTGTATAAATATGAACTGTTTAGTTCATATTTAGCAACTTAACATTCATACATGTAGCATGAAATTATTCTTTGGTCCATCAATTAATCATTACCTTTTTCCAAATAAGTTAAACTTGATTATGAAAGACAAGTAAGTACCTGAAAATAGGTGTACACAAGTTTACACTTTCTACTTTTGAGCACAGTATAGTGCAAATCTTCTTTGCAATGGTGCGTAAATATAAATACTAATCAAACTGTTTAGGCCTGTGGCGTAACATAATTCACAATTCTATGAAAACTTTGGATAATAAGGCAATGTAATGATTATGCTCTACTCAAGAGTACATACATTTTTGATGCACAGTAATCAGGCAAAAGTGGAGATAATTTTTAACAACACACACAGAAATGCACTTTGTAGAAGTGCGTCAAACTTGCTGATATATTTGCCAGTTTGTTTTCTAACATATTCAGATTTCTGACACAAGTTCAGTTTCTGCCTAATATTTTCCACCCACTAGTATCAGATCTCACACTGAAGCAATAATCTGTGCCATGTCCTTAAAGGTGCACTATTCTGGTGTAGGGTTCACCACCTGCTTGTCTCTATGGAGATGTTATTACTTTGCTTAATCTAGTATGGCATTCAACTTATCCATCTCAGTGAAGTCAAGCAGGTGCTGCCACGAAGGCGGCGGGTCAGATCTGTGGAGATCTGACACCGCTCACACATAATAGCACCAAAACAGCAGATTTAAACTCCTTTGTTTCCACATCTGTTGCTTAACAAATCCAGTCTAACATCTTTTTAAGTGCTTGTATACATGTTAAGATATAAGATGGTGCTATTTATTTGTATTTGTATTCATGTCACTTTTATCTGCACAAGCACTTTATTGGGGTTGTGCGATAATTCTTATGTCATGGCCATATTTCCATGTTGAAATATTTCAGACCAGCTGACTGTTCTCCTGTTGTGTGTCATGTGAACATTGTGTGGATGTGACCTACAGCACTGCATGTTTTTCAGTGTACAGTATTGTTTTAGTTTGGTTTAGTTAAGTCATTAATTGTATAAATGCAAGATAAGTTATGTTATAATGTGTAACATTTCTGGCAGAACAATAAAATCTCCATGGAGAGAAGCAGATGGTGCACCCTCAGTCTGAAAAGTTATAAGTGCACCTTTAAGATGATATCATGTCTGATCAGTGTGCAGTATGAACAATAATAGAATACACTCCACCTTTATGTTCCGGTTTACCCTGTACTTCTGTAAAATATATTTCAAAACCTATTATTTGGTATGAGTTGTGATCGAAAAGAGGTTACCTAAATATATAAAATATACTTCACAGCTTTGTTTTCTATATATTTTCTATTGTCACAGTAGTTTTTAGTAGCTTTTAGCACTACCTTTAAAAAATGTAATATCAATTATCTTCTTCTAATTCTTTCTCTTTCTCTTTGTCTGGATCTTCCTTGTCCACGTCTGGCCCGGCTTCACTCTTCACCTCGTCATCTTGTCCGCTGACCTCTTCATTGACCTCTCCTGACTCCTCTGCGTCTTTGCTACTGTCTGCCCCTTCCTCTTCCCCGTTAGCATCACTACTTTTAGCCTCTTTGGTCTCATTATCTGCCTGGGTCTTATCCACGTCGTTGCTGTCTTCTTTCTGTACTTTCTGCTCCTCCCCTGTGTCTGCATCATTACTTCCATCATGGCTGCCGTTCCCCCCCATCCCACTGTCTCCTTCCTCCACTCCTTCTGCACTTTTGTCTTGATCATCTTGTCCACCTTTGCTAGATTCCTCGCCCTCTTTCTCATTACTGTCCGCAGTCTTATCACTAGGTCCCTGGCCCTGGCTCGTGCCCTCCTCTGCGCAGCTTTTCTCATCTGTGTCTGCATTATTGACCACGTCTGATGGAGAGTTTTCTTGTTCGTTTGAGTCCTGCTTCTTGTCTGCTCCTGTGGGTTCACCGGGGTCGTCCTTAGACACATGGGCATCAGATGCACTGGGGGTCTGATCCGAGGGCGAATCATTTCCTTTTGCAGTTTCTTTATTGTTTGGTGAAGAGTTCTGTAAAGACAAAAAAGTGTATGTATTTGCTGAAAATGCATTATGTCAGGGTGAAAAGAATGGATGGTGATTATAAATTGGAGAATACATACAGATATAGAATAAAATATAGTGTTTTTATATGGATGTTTAGCTTTAGAAATTATAACAGGGTATTTAACAAAATTAAAATGACTCTCTCTTTTACAATATCAAAGCTTTTATCCAAAATGCAGCTGTTTTAGTTTTACGATATCTCAAAATTTGCATCAGTTAACACCTAAACCCATGTGTACAGTACAGTTGTTTATGTATTTTAATTCTTTGTAAAGAGTCTTTGAGTGCCAAGAAAGGTTATTCAGTTAATTATTATTGATAATACTGATACTAAATGCAGCAATCAAAATATTGCATGGTGAATAATTATAACTGTGACAGTACAAAACACACACACAAAGACATATGCAATGCAGTGTGTATTTTATTTTGAGGTTATTCAGTATATATATTCACTACTTGAGGCTACTTACTACTTATTGTTACTCCAACTGAATTTAGGTTTAAAATTTAATAAATAGAAACACTTTCCACACATAGCAGCTTTTCTCACAATGTGCTTTAGTTAATTAAAATGTTCTCTGTCTGTCTGTGTCCATGGTTTCTCTCCTTTAGGCCCAAAGTAGCTGTGTTCAGCCCTGCAAGAAGGCCGGTGAATATGCAGTAGAGGATGAATAATTGAATGTGTAAACTGTACATGACATACCTGCAGCTCAGGCTGGTTTTGAAGGTCATCCTCCTCTGTGGCTCTCCCCTCGACTCTCCCCTCCACATCATCTACAAATGACACAGTTATAGAGACTTACAGTTAGTGGATAATTCTCTCAATCCCATTCAGACGTTTAACTGCCACTGTAAAAAGTTTATTTGCTGCTAAAGCTGAAAGTTCATCCTACCTCCAGTCCAAATAAAACCAAAAGACATTATTTCCCTTATCAATAAATAGCCAGACTTATTACATCATTTCATAAAACCATCTCAGCCTTTCTTCATATAATGATGCTTTTATTTACTCTCAGCCTCATTCAAACCATCAGCTGCATCATGACAGCACAGGAGTGACATCTAGTGGCGGAAAGGGGCGCTGCCCTTTCCATAAACGCAGGTAAACAACTTGAGCAGACAATGGAAGTGTGCCAAGGAGAGCTAGTAAACATTTAACAGAGGCACGAGGAGCAGGAGACAGCAGAAGTGAAGGTCAGGAGCTCATTTTAAATACACATATGACATTAGCTGCTTTTCATCATCATTAGTTTAACCGTGTTCTGAGGTTTTATCACTGTCTGTATCCTTACTATTACTATTACATCATTCAGTCTGAGTGTGTGGACTTGTCCAATGTTACCTAATGTACTTTTTCCATTCTAGTGTAAATTAACTTTACACTTTACAGAAAACTTCATCTGTTGTGTTTTTGATCGATTTGTGATTTCATTACATTACATTAAAGGTGCACTGCGTAACGTTTCTGGTCTGTCACCTGCTTGTCTCCATAGAGATGATATTGCTTTATTTCATTATGGATCTTTTAATTGAAAAAATAAGTTAATAACATGCATTCTTACTGTTACTGACCTATAAAATGGCCTGCTGACATCTCCACTGAGAGATATCAGTTTATTGCCATACTGTAGTAGAACCTTCTAACTGAAAGCAATAGCACCTCCAGTAGATACAAACAGGTGGTGGATCCTCTACCATTAAAGTTATGCAATGCACCTTTTAAATATGACAGTAAATGTAACAATCTGCCACCCTACCTGTCAAATATTGCTTTTGACAGTCCATTCTATATCAGTAAAGAATAAATGCCTGCTTACTTTTGTACATAGAGGTTTTGAGGCATAAATATGAATATCCAATTGAGGTGCTGCATTAAAGTGTTTTGCACCTGAGCCTGTTAAAACCAAACCTTCGCAGACCTCACTGTGTTATTTACAGTATGTGAGTGCGACTATGAGTGCTGGTGTTAATGAGGTGCATTATACTGACGCTCGCTACAAACTAAATACTTTTTAATTGAAGCAATCAGCTCTGCATTAGGTATGTAGAGGTGCAACATGAGTATACAGTTTTAGTCTGATATGGGCATGTGCATCAAAGGCCTTACAGTAATTAACCCCAACCATCATTAAAGAAACACAGTATACGCTCTGGTAAACAACATAATTACAGAGTGCTCTAAAACACTATGAGACTGAAAATTCAAGCCGCGACTCAGAGACAAAACAGAAATCATTAACATCTCTAATATTAGGCTCCTCTCTTACACTTTACAGTTGAAGAAGAAAAATGACTTGGCAGAGATTACAAGAGTTTATGGAGACATTTAATGCATTTCAAATGCAAAACTGATTGAAGTTTAGCCATGGTGGGAGATGAAACGTTATGGTAATAATAAGGGACCTCTTTAAGAATATTTTATGGTAATCTTCTGCATTCATTAGCAGTAAGACCAAGTGTCTGTAAGCAGTAAGCAGAGGCTCAGCTAGTACCACAACTCCAAACATCATAACAGGATTTCAGCTAAACCACATTAAATCCAATATTTAGACCGGCTCCTCGGGCTCATCATTAAAATCATTGGGTTCTGTTTTTCCCAATGCAGTGTGCATTCATGTGTGTATGCTACAAAACAACATATTTCTCATTGAAACACATGCAGGGCACACCTGCAATTCAGACATGATGCTGCGTCTCATCAGTCAGTGTGAGCTACAACCAGGATGCATCTCTAAGTGGCTATAATTACTCTTATAAATTGCACCGGCTGCCACTTTTATGAAAGCTAAGGTTATAAATGACTGTTGATCAAGGAAAGAAAGCAATAAAGCACAGAAGATGAAGTGATTATAAACTACAATAAGTTTTCTGGAGAAACTCAGTTCATAAATGCCATTCTCTGCACCACTCTGACAGCTCCTCTGTGTTGCATTTGAGACTTCTGGTGTTCATATGGAGCATTGGCTCCATCTACAGATACAAGTTCCAATGGCATGTTCACATTTCAGATACCATTTCTGATTTCTCACCTTCAGTTATGAGTCATGGAAGAAGTTACCATATCAAAAAATATAGTACAAATGTGTCAAAAAGTTGTAATTGAGGATTTAAGTTAGTTAACTAACCAACAATTGTATGTACCGGTACTTGAAATCAATAACTATTGGACATTTAAATTCACTTAGTAGGATGAGGAGACTGAGCGCTTTTGTAAATTAATATGAGAAATCCACAACTTTTATGTTGGGAGGCAGAAGTGCTAACCTCGCTGCCAGTTATATGTAAACTCACTTTAAAGTATTTAGTGTTTGAAATATACAGAGTACTTACACTTATTCAACTCCTCAACTCTTTAGAAGTCTAATATGTAAGATCATAAGTGACAGCCTCTCACAACCACATAAATATAACCTATATTTTGTATGTCATATCCACTTTTGCAACATGTCACAGCTAAAACACATGTTAACAGATTAATGTGGGAGATTATAGACCTACTTTCCTCTTTTATCCCGTAATCCTGCATCAAAGGGTCATGGACAACCTTTTTCTGCTGCCATGAAAAGAGGAAGATGAAAGGAAGAAGAGGAGGGGACCGCCATGTTGTCTGAGATGTTAGTCATGTGACACAAGTGCACACACACACGCACACACGCACACACACACGCACAGATGTAAAAAGACTTCTAAAGCAAACTATACTTTTCCTGAAGTTGAAGAAAAAAATATTTAAATGTCGCCATCTTTCATACTTAACTTCTCCAATGACGTGTGATTTAAGACAGTCTACCCTTTATGCATGTTCTCTGGCTCTACATACTGTTTTGAACTGTTTCGTTCTGACAGGCCTAGCAGATACATATGCTAACAGGGCTAATTCCCCAAAGCACCCTCACTTTGCATGACACCAGAAGTCGAGCGTTCTGGCTGGATGTGTTAAGGGAACAACACCCCCAGTGTGCTTAAATATGAAGCAATATTTCTAAGACTTAAATCTTTTGAAAACATCCCTTTAAACATCCTTTACTTTTAATCACACTGCATTAAAAATAAAATGTTGCAGAAATTGAATCAGCTATTGCAACTGTAAACGGAGGAACCCCATATGAACATAAAACAGAGTTCTTGCTACATAAAAAGAGGATCACATTTTAAATACTTCAGTATGAAATATGAAACTTTTTATCAGGCTTGGCAGTTTAAACATAGCACATATCTAAACTGACATTACCTGACTTTACTTATTCTGCTCTAGCAGATGATAAACCCAAAACGCCATGCCAAAATTGTTGGTTTATATAATGCTGTCTGCACTGTTCACTGGTCAGTATGATATTGTGATGTGTAAGATGTTGAATATTGTTGTCACAATAATAAAACTGATTTTTATACTAAAAATAAGACTTGATACTGGTTTAGATATCTGATGAAAAACACTCCTTTTTAAAAATAATAGTTTTCAACACAAAATGAGAGCCATTTATGTAATATTATCATGTGATTTATCTACGATACTAGTTTCAACATTGATTAGAATCTGGGTATCACTTCTTTTGACATGCCTAGTATTGTAAATGTTTTAAGTCTGAAAATTCAATCTGAAATTTAGTTTTGAGGTTACATTTGAGCAGTGAATTAGTATTTTCTTGTTATTGTAACCTTAGCAAACCTTTATGCACTCAATCCTTATCCAATAATTCCCAAAGTTTACATGGCAAAAACATTGCTGCTTGCTAAGTGCACCTATACATCTAGAGCACATTAGGCTATTTTAATTCCCTATTCGACACAAAGACCACGCTTCAGTTCTTACATAAACCCAAGACATGTGAATCAATAAAAAGCAACCTTGAGTTACTGTAGATTGCGTTAATGCACTACATCAAGGCATGTACAAGGGGCGCATATAATCAGTAAACACTCCATGGCCATGTCTGTCAAAAGACCCTCTCTTTCTCTCCCTCTCCGCTCCTGTCCACCTCGCCTCCTGGAGTACCCCGCTTCTTTTGTTGATTTCCCGAGCTGTAATTTGGCCTCAGCAAGGGGCAGAGGCAAGTAAAATTCTGCTTTGATGACTCTAAATGGAGAGATTATCCAAATGAAAGGCAATTATGTTGAACCCCCACCTACCCCCTACCCTTCAATATCTTGTGTGCTTTTTATTCCTCCGCCGCTGTGTCTATGGCTTCTAAGGCTGTTTCATTATAGTCACTGCTCACTTCCACCTGTACTCTGGAAGTCTTTTCTTCGTAATGCCCTGCCTTCATCATCTCAACCTTTTATTCCACATTTGGAAACCATGTCCATTATTTTTTTCAACTTTCTTTTCACATGCCGTGTCCCCTTCGCCTGTCAAAACATCTGTTCCTGTCAGTCCCCCAATTCTCATTTCATTTTCTTCTCCATCCTTCCAGGTTATTAACCAAAGCACATAGTCACAAAGGTGCCTCCTGATAAACATCCCCAACTCATTTTAGCAATACAACAACTGCTAATTGGCTCCATACAAACGGGCCGTGTTTTTAAATAGGTTGGTCAAGTTGTCCCCAAGTGAATTGAAAGTGCGGTTATGAAGCACTTTGTTGTTTAAGGTTTAGGTCATGTTTAAAGTTGGATTCCTTTTGTGACCTTTGCAAAAGTACTTGTGGCTCATGTCGCTCACCACTCTAATGAGCAGAAAAGGCCAAGAGCTGTGCAAGAAGACACAGTATGGACATAGACGAATAATGTCTTTTTAAAAACAGAGATAGTTAATGCACTAGTCTTTTATTTGAGCAAAATAATTAGGTAACCACAAACTAATAATGTGGTTAGCTAGTGGTTAATACCTCCTTCAGTCAACATGCAATCTCAAAAAATCCCATTATGCTACTATGGGTCCTTTGTAAGTATTTCAGGTTCCTATACAACTACACAACTTAACACACACACTTAAAGGAAGGTCCACCACCTGTTTGTCTTCATGGAGATGTTATTATTTGCTTGTTTGTATGAATTAATTTGAAAAACATCCATGATTTTTCTGAATGGGGTTGCCTCTCCACAGATCTGACCTGTAACTTGGCCTGTTGGCATCACCTGCTTGTCCCCATGAGGTTAATGATATACTTTGGAACTTTCCAGACAATAACATCTCTATAGAGACAAGCAGGTGGTGGACCCTCCCCCACAAAAGCTACTATAGTATGCTCCACCTTTAATTAATCATGCAGCTAGTCCGTGTAATGTTTGTATTCTGTAACTAAAATGAAAAAGGGGCTTTGTTGTGCTATGTAAAAAATTGATATTCAGTACAGTTCTGCATCTAACCAATCAATGAGGATGATGGAAGCAGATGATTTACTGTTGCAACCACAGGAGAAGAAAGGAGCAGTCAAAAGAAAAGAAGAATGAATGTGAGAGTGAAAGGTTGGCTATACAACTGTCCAGGGAGCACACCGCCTGAGGTCCACAGCTGCTAGAACAGGCTCCAGTCATCCATAATTGCTAAAAGGAAAAGGCTGAATGTATGAATGTTCCTGGTGTTGCTTTAGCTGTTTTGTTTTTGAGCTGGATTCATGCTGTGATCTTTCTCTAACTTCTACCAGCGAGACAACTTTTTGGCTGCATTTCATCTTGGCAGCCGTACAGTGTGTGTTTACTTTATACTCAGTGTGCACACAAAACCGCACAACTGCACTGGCTGTGAGTCCCCAAACAAACTACCCAACATAAAACAAAGTAGCGCTATGGGGGAGCTCTACACAACAGAAAGTCTGAGGACGCATTCAGGACCACGGACAGAGACAGCAGTGCCTGGATCTAACCACAAAGTCAATCAGATGCCATTAGGGGTCAAACAATCAAGGGTGAACAACCATGTGAAATGTTTTTAAGCATCTGAAGCGCTCTTGTCTCGTGCCTGATCTTGTTTTGCGAGCAGTCACTCTGTTAATTTAATCTTTGCTCAATGTCACCCAAGGGGACCAATAATAAGGCTACAGAGTGGTCTATGCCACTGGTATGACATGCCACGTAGATTTGAAGAATTTTGAGGTTGACATTACAGGGCCCACACATGCATACACCTTCTTTAAGCTGCTGTTTGATGCAAAATGCCATCTCCTCTAAAGCAATTCTCCATGCTCCTTTAGGCATGTGCTGTCAAGTCTCCCAGCAGAGGAGAAAGCAGGCCACATCTATCATTGGCCACAGGGTGACGTCATGTTATCACACCACACACCACCAGTTACAATAAGCTCACTGGTCTGGAAAGAAAGCAAATTTATAACGAAGGAATAAGCAGACATTTTAGCTAACTTACACAATGACTTTCATGTAAAAAAAAATACTATAAAAAGATATTGACATTTAAATCTGTCTTGCTGTTTTACCACATTATAAACTGGAGGTATTGGAGGCTTTGTAAGGAGTCTGAACAGGCTAATCACAAGCCGGGAAAGTGACGTAATGTGTTTCTTGTAAAAGCGATTAATGTCATCATTCTAGGACTACTGGCATACATATTTGAAAAGACCAACAGTGCCACTCAGTGGACAATTACAGCACTAGCAGCTTATATAAGGTTTGAATCAGCACTACATATTGATACATAAATATTTAATGCAGTTACGTTTATAAGTTATATGTATGATGAGATTTTAGAAATCTCCAATAGCTTCCTACCAATACCAATAAATAAGAACAGTTTTAAAGTCAATAAGAAAGTTTTTAATGTTGTGATTATTTTAAAATATGCATTTTATTTTGGAAAAACAAGTGTGCCCGAGCTTCTGTGGAAAATGTAATTAAGTCATGTTAAAAATTCTGTCAGACTCTCAATTATATACTGTACAGTATATGTACTGTTTTAATTTGTTTTGTAGGTGGCGCAAACAGTGTTTTACACAAGGGTATAAATATATTATATCTGTGTCATACCATTGTGCAGGTCCTACCCTGGTCAGTGCTGCCCAGTGCCATGCTCTGTCCACTCCTCCTCTTCCTCAGAGATATGAGTCGAGCCTGAGAGATCTCCCTGACGATGGAGGAAAGGTGCTCCTTACTGTTGCCGTTCACAGCTGGAGGAGAGGCTTTGGGGTCTGTTTCTCCACTGTCACTGGACTGTACCATGGATTTACCCTGGTATTAGTAAAAGTACTATTACTATAGTGTTCAAATACATACACAGCTAACAAAAAGCAAACCTAATCTGAAAATAAATGATTTTGTTACCATGAAAATATGATAAATTATAGATGATGTTTATTTACTAGAAATAAATACATGTAAAGATATTTTCAAATGACTAAAAACTGAAAACTTGTTGAGTTTACTACAACTTTTAAATCATTACCATATTTGTCACTTACAGTCCCATTTTGCTTTGACATTCTGTAGATTGGTGGGAGAGAGTAAGCTTTCATTCTGTAAACAAACAAAAAAGGGTAAAATACGGACCCCATGGAGAACGTAGACAGCCTCATGGCACATTGATAATAAACATAAACAACACCTTATTTCTGTTTGGGTTGTTTTGCGACATGTTAATTTGAGGGCTACCCTATATTTTTCCATAAATTATAATACATATACAATGCATACTGCCTGAGGAGGGTACCCCAGAGTAAATACTAGTCCTGGAGGGGTAATTAGTGCCACATAGCGACAAATGTAAACATACACTTAATGAACACCAACACTTTGCCAAGATTTCACTGTTTTGACATCTATTAATGTGGCAGGCAGTGTAAACTTAGTTACAAATATTACATTACAGACTTGATGTGGCATTTTTGAACCAACAGGGTATTCTGTAACATCCATTCCATATGGAGAATAAACAAATTAGCTGAAATTGTAAAGGTCACTTGTCAGGAGTGCAGATATTATACCTCCTCCCCCTCAAGGTTTTGGAGAAAAGTAGGTCGATGTAAGGCAGCTTCTTGAACTTGTCCCTCCCCACAGCCACATAGAGCTGACCACTCTCCAGCTGGTTCCCATCAGTCACCTGTTGGCCCTCATAGGAGTACAGACTAAAGACACACAAAAAAACAGGGTTGCAGAATATATACGTAGTTAGCATCAGCTACTACTGATAAAAATAACATAAATAAATAAAACAAGGATAAGAAAACTAACAATTAGAATTTGTATTGTTAATTGTAAACCTAGTGCTGGCTTATTTATTGTTTTATATTTAAAACAAACTATAAAATAGACAATAAATTAAAAAAATAAAATTGAGTTCAATATTAATTTTCTGCACAATAATAGTCAAATGTATTCCTCCTGAACTCTGCTTCATAACAAAATAAAACAGCCCTAATTGTTCTATTACATTAAGCCAATCATATAGTCTCCTAAATAGAGTTTTATATTGCCCAAATTAGGATAAAATATTGGGGTTAAAAATCTGAAAACATCATCTTCTTTGAACCTTTAAAACCCAAATGTCACATGACATGACATGAGAAAAATGGGCCAGGCAACATAACATAAAAATACAGCTCAGTTATGGTGAAACAAAACTGTATAATGTAGTCCTATAGTTGTATACATCTTATGTTTACAAAAAAGAGAAAATACAACAGAAATATAATGACATTGTAGTACTGGTACCTGCGCACTCCCCCTAGGACCCTCAAACCCATCTTCTCTGTGACCAGCTCCAGGATCTTATCAAACTGTCCCAGTAGCCTCTGATGGATCAGCAACCTCATGGCTGGGTTTAAGACATCACCATTGGCAACAACACTTAAGAAATAAAAGAAAAGGAGAGTAAAAGTTATTTAATGTTTAGTGAAATACATTGCTTAAATTTGTCAGTCTCACAATATGGGGCATGGTTCCTTAATTGGCTTCAGAAATCGCGCTGACACCATGATCCTGTTTTGTGGTGGAGGTTTTACCTGTGAAACAAAGTCAGCAGGGGTCATGTGTACAGGCTGTTTACCCATGTGCCTGTACATTCTGTGCCTATTATTACTAATGGTAAAGTGGAGCAGTCAGCCCCAAAGGAGTTTAAAGGCATCTCTTAATAACAGGAGTGCCTGAGTACATCTGATGTTTGGCAGCTTTAGGGAAAAGACCTGCAGGGAACAGTCGGTGTGGTCCATAATAATGTCAGCAGTTTGGCAAGAGGAAAACTGACAAAGATAATTCTACAAATACACTTAGTTAGAACAATTAAAAATGTCTAATTAAAAGACTTTTGAAAACATACATTCTTATACTGACATTATTTCTCAAATTCATATATTGAGTAGACTTGCTTCTCCACAGATCTGACCTGCTTGTCTCCATGGATCTACTGTAGATATATGTTTAAAGTCATTTGGTCAGCGTTTCAACATCTGCTATGGCATTTATTTTCTAATCTCATTTTTCAGATCATAATTACGCATAAGATTGTGTCCCAACTCTTTTTGAGTTGCAGTTCTGAGTCTATCTCTTGTCTCTTCAATAACCCAGGGCAATAAAAACAGGATATTGTGATATTAAAAGAATTTTGTCCCTGGAGGCCATAAAGAAAGATGTATTGTTAACACACAGGGAATCTATTTTATCTCTATGACAGCAAAAGAATGAGTCCTCTCTAATCCTGGAGGTGGTGAGGGTGAAGAAAGGGAGCGCTGCAGGCCCCGTTCCAACAGCCGTAACCCTGTGTGACAACAAGCTGAGATCCTGCCCTCAGAGATGCCGATAAGAGAGCAGGAAGACTACTAAGAAGTCTTTTGGGGTCTGTGTGTACACCCCGGCAACAGAGGGCTACAGGGACTACATAAGAATTCAACAAGAAAAAAGTGCAATGCAAGAAACAGCAGCACCATAACTCATACCAGTTATTAACAAATAAACACTATAAGTACTATAATATGATATTTATTGGGGTTGAGTGTGATAGAAATCCAATTGTGATCTGGTTAATCTGTTGTTTTGATCATATCGTCATGTGATTTACCACCTTTTTTTTTTTTCCCCTACAATTCTGTGCTATAACACTTCTTCTAAAGCTTTTTCTCTTGGATAGCTTCTATACGGCTGAGTGACTGACAGCTGGACTTGACCTTTCAGAAGAAATTATCACTTAATTTTCTTCTTAAAGGCAATACAAAAATAGAACATAATATGAAACCCCTGACAAATGTCGTATTTTATTGTTATAGGTGCAGAGACAACATTATGATTTTGCCATCTCTTGTCTACAATGTAAATCTTATGTCTTTTGAAGGACTGTGCGAGAATAGCAGTCTGCATGTTATTTAAATCTATCAAAATGAAAGAAAAGACAAACAAAAGCTGAAGTTTCTTGATGGTCCTTGCCCTTAATCCACATAATCAGCTGCACAAGTGGGCCGGTGACGAAGGGTTGGTCCTTGTGAACTAAATTGGCTCATTTTGCTCAGCAGGTAATCAGAGCAGCACAGCCCTCCAGGTTATCTGTGGTGATTTAGCCTCTCAGTGCCAGCTGATAAGACAACATTGTGAACCTTAAGGACTGCCATTCTGATTTGGTTTGTTTGATTTGCATGTAGTCATTTTTTTTTCCTTTCCATTTTGCTTTGTGGGGTTGTGACAGCAAATAATCAGTTCCCTTTGTATAGTAATTTGCACTGGGTTTGTCTTAGAGTTTGATTAGATTTGAATTTGTTAGAAATGGTTTTAGGTTTGTTTTTTGATCATAAATTTGATTTCATCACAACATGTACATTCTGAACATGAAGTCGTACAGAATGTCTTTAAGAAATATCAACAATTATCTGCTTTTTCTTGTTTTTAGTGTTATATTCCCCAGTCCCAGTTTTAAGTTGTGGTTACATCATAGTGGTGTATTAGATTTGCATAAATTAAAAGGGGTAATTATGATCCATAAATGAATAATACATTGTCACCGAGACTAAGTGACAGAACAAATGAAAGGTCTGCTCAATGCTACACTGCTCAGCTAATCCTTCTCAGGCCCATACAAAGTGTCTGAGTGGCAGAGGGCTGTGAAGTTGTTCCCAAACACCTTATATACAGGGAATAGCAGCTGTGACCCTAAGACCCGACTATAGGCCAGTCACGATAAATACTATACCACCGTATGGTTCAATAAAGGACAGCTGGAACAATATATTTTGGGGCTCCATTTTATCATGTGTACATTTTCTTTGTAAAAGTGAGGAGATTTTATGTATTTTTCTTGTACTACAACTACATTGGAGCTGAGCTGAATAAGTGACTTCTATGTACTATTATTGGTCAATAATTAGCCATTCTGTTACTTTTAATGATACTTTAATTACAATTTTATCTTGTATTATTGTTATTGTGTCAGAAGCATATGGTGTTTTCACTATTATCATTTATTACAGAATATCTCTGTACCAATAAACTCAGCTTCAAAATGTGTTACTGTGAGAGGGCCTACAAACACATGCAGTAAAAATCAACACATGAGTTCTACATATTTTTCAGGTGATCAGCCCATTCTTGGTTTATTCTTGTGCTAAGTGTGGTTATGCTGATGTTGCTGTATTTTAACTGTTGTTTACAATGAATCCAGCCCTGTATGTGAATAAGTGTCATCATACACAGTCTTGGATTACAGAAGTGTGAGTAGAACCTGAGCATATTGCTCATGCACACACGCCCAGATTAAACTGTTGATTGACACACCAGTGTAAATTATGGATGCTTGTTCCACTGCTGTAGAAAGTATTTATAGGCTGCCAAACACTTAACTGGCTCAACTCATGTATGACAATGATATTAAAACCTCATATAGGCCAATTAAATGACTAACCCAATATTATATTTGCATAGTTTGAGTCTATGGAGACTAAATGACATGGGATTTAGCATTTTACTTACCTGCAGAGGAAGAGCCTGCAGCATCCTCCTCTTTCTTGGGCCAATCTCTAAGTAACTAAAAATGAAATATTTGAGATGTTATTATGAATCATACATAACATTGACAAATAAACAGTTAATAAACAAATACATTTTTCTACATTTGTCTTTTGAAAATGTGTTAATCTGTGTTATGTGGGATGCGCTTCCAGAAACAAAGATGTGCACGGGCTGATGACTCCAAGTGGCTGAAATAGGTTATTTCTGCCCTTGAATACTCCTGAGTGTGCCCAAATACCAAGTTGTCAGTTTTCCCTTAGGAATTTCCCTAAGACCAGTAATGCACTCCCTTTGTGCAGTAGGGCTATGCAAAATAAATATATTAATACACGCAATTAAAAACACAAATAAAACATCATTTTGCATTATAAAAATAACATTTACATTACACTATTTTCAGGTCTTACTCGAGTTTTTTGAACCTCTCTCTGCCTGCAGCCACGTACTGCTCGCCACTCTGCAGGTTCTCCAGACGGTCTACCTTGTGTCCACCTCTGGGCGTGTAGATGTTCCTCACGGCTCCGAACGGCGCTTGAATCCCGCTGGTCACTTCCCGCAGCAAAGTCTCAAAGTTACACACTCTCTTCTGGTTAATCACTATCCGTCGGGCCTCGTAATAGGGGTCTCCGTTACGGTACATGAAGACATTCTTAACGACAGGCTGCGACAGAAAGTTTGGCTTTTCGGCATTCATCATTGGGTGTCAAGTGCTCTCGTTTGGATAATAGTTCACTATTTGCGCGTAATATGCGCACTGTCCATTATAACTCTAACGCATTTTGATAAAAAACGGCGCATTAGCAGGCCAAAACTCTCAAATAAAGTCGTCTTAAACTAAATCTGAAGACTCTAAAGTTGCACCTGTGCCGTCTGTGCACAGTTGAACTGCAGTCCACAGAATGCGCGCAGAGCATGTGGCGGCGCAATCCAAACGAGACTGTAGTCGGCCCTCGCTCTGGCGCGGGGTATCATGGGATCAAAACTGTTGAGATGTATCTATGGTAACCCAGTCAAGAGCCATAGCCTACACCTGGAGCGCTCGTGATCAACATGCAGTTAATCAGTAGCAATGCCAGTCAGAATGGAAACATTATAATCAGTGTGGTACCATGCCTTCGCTTTTTTGACACAAGCAAATACCTGAGAGCTCTGAGCAGGCTTGGACTTCATAAAACCATTCATAAATCAGCAGAGTTTACGGACAATTAAAAGCCCCGCATCTATGTGGGAGATAATTGGGTATCAAGAGACCAGTTGGAAAACGGTGTTGCCAGAGACATCCCAAGTAGGACAAAAAACATGTTTGTGTTAGGCTACTGGGCCTATATTGGTGTTTGGGGGAGATTCCGGATTCCGGTGTAGCGTTTATAGTTATAGTTTATTTCTTTGATGAGACAGGAACAGTGCACAAGCCACATGAACCTTTACAGGAGAGATGCATTGTGCCAGGTTGAAGCACCAGTGTTTTCCACCTGTTGTCCCTGGGCAGGTTAATTGATTGATTGTATTTTAATTGACTTTAGCTCTCAGCTTTTCTTCCTGGAGACCTATGGAGCATGTTTTGGGGTGATGGGGGCCCGGAGGAAACCCATGCAGACACCGGGAGAAACATGCAAACTCCACAGAGAAAGGCATGAGCACCGCAAACTGTAAGCATAATGGTACGCCTGTCTGTAATGCGTAATGCGTAGCTTTGTCACGCAGTGGTGGTAAACAAGCCACAGCAGCCCTGGTACTGACAGAAGCGGGGCTGCCAATCTGCGCCAGTGGCCCATTCGATTCAGAACACCTCTAAGGACTCATCCACAGCACTGCATTTAGTGTGTTGCTTTAAGACAGGGGTGTCAAACTCACATTCACAGACGGCCAAAATAAAAAACTGTGAAGAAGTCGTGGGCCAGACTAAATATTTATTGAAAAATGTCAATGTAATGTTAAACCTTTTCTTATTTAAATTTAAAATAAATAATGTCTCTATAGCCTATCTGTAGCCGGCGGGCCAAATCTAACACATATTTGATATGATCTCGCCAAATATAATTATATCACGGGCCAAATTTGGCCCCCGGGCCTGAGTTTGACATGTCTGCTTTAGGACAACACAAGGCCGCACCGCTACATGCGAACAGCTAGATTTGAACAGCACATGAACGAGCACTAACTAACATTAGAAACAATAGGTCTTTAACTTGAAGGTGCATTATGTAACTTCTGTCGGGGTCAGTCACCTTCCTGATTCTATGGATTTGTCATTGCACTGCTTTGAATGTTCCACAATATGACATTAAACAGATCTGTCTTACATTGATTTAATTACAGGGGGCTTTATTGCTCAAAAATACATAGAAAAACAGACATTTTAACTGTGAGCGAGGTTGCATCTCCAAAGATCTGACCTGTAACTTGGCCTGGTTTGGTCTCTATGGTGATAAAAAGGTTTAATATCTTACTGTGAAACATTTCTGACAAAGCAATGACATGTCCATGGAGAAAAGCATTTGACAAACCCTCCATCAGAAACGTTACCCAGTGCACTTTTAAAGGAAATAGTAGCCAATTGTGAAAAATTGCAATTTGTTAAAAGAATGTGTTGGAAAACAAAATTTTGTAATATTAGGAAAACCGTTTTGAAGACATGTGCCTTGAGCAACTGACAGTACCTGGTATTAAAAACTTGAACATGCTATGCACTGATGCCACAAGATGACGCTCTTTGCTCAAAGAGCTGAAGTAGAGCTTTATACTCAAGATTAAGCATTTAAACTAAATGAATGCTGGGTGATAAACTAGTTTTGTTCTTGGTACTTTCGGAGATGTAATTTACATCCTTATACATTAAAATAATCAACACACTGAGTATTATATTTGTATACGTTATAGGCAATGAAAACAGCTTTGAGCCCAAAGTGGTGTAGTGGCAGCTTTTCTTTGACAGAGGGCACTGTTTAACAGGCCTACGCTCAATATATTAATCCGCTGTTACTTAAAAATGTACCTAAAGTCTGAGTCTGGAGCAATTTTTTCTATCTGGACCATGGTGGACATTTACACCATATTTTGCCTTTCGCTGGTCAGGCACCTGCTGCTGTTTTCTTCCTAAAAATACAATTTCTAGCATAGTCTATAGGCCTACTTTTATATGCACAGTCTTTTCAGCCGCAGTGTCATTGTGAAGAAAAGAAATTATCCATAATTGCTTTGCTTTATTGGATGTGAAAATGGCACCTTTATTTGTACAGTGCAAAGATTGCCTTGTCATGACTCCATCATAACATGAACACCTGGAGCAGCTAGGTATAATTTTCCTTTTCACTTGAAATCACTTATCAAAATAAATTAAAATGCTGTTAATTATAGCATAAATTAAATACATTTTATTATTCCACCTGTGCCAGTCCCATTTGAAAATGTTACGGACATGTCAGCTTGTATTCACTTTTACAAATGGTGTGGTATTTTGTGCTTGGTCAAGGCTGAAATTGTTGGAAGTGAAGACAGTGACACATTTTGTCCTCAAAATGACAGAATGTATTTCTGTTTATTCTATTAGGTCAAACACAGACAGCCAGGGCTTTTATCACAACATTTATTCTAAGGTGTGCGTTACGCAGTCACAGTATTAGTGAAAGTATAGACATCACCGTAATGACTTGTGAAGCTGTTGAGAGGGGAATTGCTCCTAAATGTTATCTGCAGTAATTATTGGTTTTGAGATGGGCTTTGACTCGAGCCTTCCTGTAATAAACATTTGAGATTCAGGGTCATGCTGAACCTTCTTCAAAGGACAAAGTCATTATACTCTTCATTAAACCTAGATGAGCCTTTTTCTTTATCATAGACATTTACAAAAACACCCAAATAAGAGACACGTTCATATTATTACTCTAATTTAATTACCGTATTTGACAGTACAAAACAATAAAATACAGTCCGATTCACCACAAGGCACAGTACAGCAGCACAGGCATACAATTTGGACAGATTAACCCTTGGAGCACAGGGTAAAGATAGGAAAACCTGTCTGCAACCATTTTAGACATCATTTTCAACATGGCCCATGAAATGAAACCTTACATAATCACCATCTGAAAATTGTAAGGTTAATACGCATCACTTTCACAGTAACACTTAGAATTGATATTTCTCTTTTTATGTTGTAGTACAGTACAATACAAGTCCCTCTACAATACATGTACATACACATACATAGACCATAAATGACTCTATTATAATTACAATACTACACTACAGTATTGATCTGCAGTTTAATAAAAAGCTCTCAACAGTCTTAAATGTATACAATAATATTATGTAAACTGAGAAATTAAAGCTTTATGCTTTCTGGCAACAGGACAGTCTTAGAGTCAAATGGCAGCTTCCTCTAACAAAATATCAAAGAGTACAATAGAACAAAACAGCTCAAATTGTTCCATTATGCAAATATTATAACATCTCAGAGATTTAGAACACGTAGATGTGTTTGTCTTTGGCAGATAAAAAATATTATTTTACTGTGAATCACAAAGAGAGTGAAAAGCTCAAGCTCCCAACAGATGCATTCACAAATAGTAGCCTATATACCAGTTCATTTTATATTTGCACAGTTTCCTTTGGACCCAAATACCTAAAAATGAGTTGGTAAGACTTTAACATTTCTTCCCCCCCAAACTGGTTACAAAGTAAAAAAAAAAAAAAAAAAAAAGTCTTAAAATAAATTATTTTATAATTGACTCATATTATAACATATAGATTTTTTGTAATCCTATTTCGAAAAATAACAGATTTTGATTAAGTGAATTTTACAATAAAACTATAATATCAAAATCACTGCATGATTTTGAAATAAAACTGTATCTAGCAGCATTACTCTCTACTCTCAAGTGTCACACTCACTGGTAACATAACACTCAAAATAATTGGCACTTTAAAACATCCCTAGTTCATAGTAGATCAGTGAAATGGCTCTTAGTTTCTGATTTGCTTTGCTGTGCATGGATGCCTTCACACACATCTGTGTCTTTACTTACACTTCTTTATGTGATATTCAAAGGTAGACTTAGATAACCAACCAGTGATGCAACTGCAGAAACAATATGTAAATATAATGTACATGGTTTAAATATATATTTAGAATAGGCGGTGAAACATACCGTAAACCGTCGGACTTCTCCACTGTCTACTAAATGATGCTCTGTCTCAGGGGTGATAGCATAAGCAAGTCTCTGATAGAAAAACATAACAAAAAACATCATTACAATGTGTATGTCATCCAGATTTGATCTAGAAACTGCACTCTGAGTTAACATAGGCAGGTTTAACCCTTTATGTTAAATGAGCCTGGGGGGGCTGGCACACCTGAGTGACCCTTAGCAGATGGGTTACACAGTAAACTGTAATCATTGAATAATAATAGATTTCGCTTACATTACAAAGTCTTCCAGGTAGTGAGCAAATCTTGTAGATGGCATAGAGAGGCACCATGGCCATTGATGACATAGCCAGGCACCAGCCAACCATATTCGCCCACGGAGGAAAATCATAAGAGCCGTAGTTTGGGGGGTTGAATGTGGCAAAACTCACAACCACCATAAACTACAAGATCAATTAGGATTATTATGTAATATTTACATAACATACACACATATCTGTCATATAAAATGCTTTTGGTGTTGAACCTTACCAAAAGAAAACAGG